TGTGATGATGGTGGTGTGGTGATGGTAATGATGGTGATGGTGTGGTGGTGGTGATGGTAGTGATAGTGATGTGGTGATGGTTGTGTTGGTAATGGTGATGGTGGTAATGATTTTGTGATGATGGTGGTGTGGTGGTGATGGTTGTGTGATGATGGTGGTGTTAGTGTTGGTGGCAGTGATTGTGAGGGTGGTGACAGTTGCATTCATAATAGTGATGGTGGCAATGATTGTATGACGATGGTGGTGATGTTGGTGGTGGTGCTGTTGGTGACAATGACTGCAGGAAGCGGGGTGGGACCCTGGCCTTGGTGCAGGCCACAGGACAACAGTCCGTGTGCAGATGGGGTTCTGTTGGGTGGTGACTCTGGGCCCTCACACTCTCCCACAGGTACATCCGCTCGGAACGGTCTGTCATCCTCATCAACTTCTGCCTGTCCATCATCTCCTCCAATGCCCTCATCCTCATTGGGCAGACCCAGACCCGCAACAAGGTAGGGAGCCTGGCGTCCTGCCGTGCACTCCCAGGACGCTCAGGTGGAGTGAGGACGGACCCTATGAGGGGCCTGGGCCGTGGGATCCCTGGGAAACTCAGGCAGGCAGAGGGTGTGGGAGGAGTTGCAGGAGGAGGCTGCCCCAGCTGCAGGGAGTGCCCCGCCCTCCGCTGTGGCTGGAGGGGACTGTTGGAGGCTGGTCAGCTGGCAGAGAAGGGCAGCTTGTGTCCCAGCATCTCTGCTGGGCTGACCCTTCAGGATGAGCCCACCCAGGCCCTTGTGGGCAGTGGACACGGCCTCAGCTCGTGCTGCCTCAGGACTAGGGAGTGGCACCAAAGACAAGTGACACTGTGGTGACAGAGGCTCCCACGGTCCACCCTCTTACCCCCACCCTTGCCAGCCTTGAAGCTGATAGCTCATGGTGGGCTCCTGCCTGCCCTCCCCGGACTCCCCTTCCCACTAAATGTGGCAGGTGTGGCCTTCGGGTGGGGGCCTCTGTTTCTGAAAGGGGCCACCCTTTAAACGTAGGGGAGAGGATGAAGCCAGAAGGCCTGCAGTGAGACGGAGGAGGACTGGTCCCAGGGCCTGCACGTGTTGCGGCAAAGCTCAGGGCTGCGGGGTGGGTGAGGTTGTCTGTGACTTGCTGGGTGTCCTTGGGGTGTGACTTGCCCTCCCTGGGCCTGGGGCTCAGCCCCTCCTGAAGGCATGGGCAGGCACCTGGACTTTTGAGATGGCCCCTGGCTTAGCATTTGGTGTGGCTGTGAATGGTGCTGAGGAAGATGGGGAGGGAAGGTCTCTTTGTCCCGGGGGGGCTTAGAGGGTCAACAGCCCATCTCAGGACAGGGACCAGGGCAGGGACCTCTGCATTGCTTTCTGCCTGGGGATCTGTTCGGGTCCTGGCTCGGGTGCTGGGTGCTGGGCTTCCAGCTGCAGATGGGCACTCAGTGGGCGCGGGCGTGGAGCCAGGGAGCACCTGCCCAGCCTGCCCTGCCCTTGGCCCCCCGCAGGTGGTGTGCACGCTGGTGGCCGCCTTCCTGCACTTCTTCTTCCTGTCCTCCTTCTGCTGGGTGCTCACCGAGGCCTGGCAGTCCTACATGGCTGTGACGGGCCACCTCCGGAACCGCCTCATCCGAAAGCGCTTCCTCTGTCTGGGCTGGGGTGAGCGGTGGCCTCCCTGACCCTCCCAGGCGGGCATCCTGCCTCCTGGCCCTGCTGCTTGTTCTGCCCTGGCAGCCCCTCCTCTCCCCGTCCCCTGTGGACCCCTGGGGCCTCGGCGGCTGCTTGGGTGGGCTTCTCCCTCTGGGCCCTCATTTCTCCATGGAGCTGCCAGATAAAGCGTGGGACACCCAGTCCCCTTTCATGTCTAGATAATGAAAATGTTTCTAGCACAAGTGCGTCCAGTGCACTGCTTGGGACATACATTCACAGAAAGACGATTCCTGGTTTTTCTGCGAGTCACATGTGCCTGGCGCCCCGTGTGTTCTCTGCTCATTGGTCCGCCTGGCACCCAGCTCCAAGGGCCCTTGCCTTGTTCACCTTCTGCCCCATCTCATGCTCAGCCCCATCCTCTGTTGGCTTCAGAAGTGCCCGCCTGGCCCCCAGCCTCCAAGGCAGGGCTGGGAGAAGGTGGAGTCTGGCTGGGGCTTGGGTGGGGTCAATGCTGTGTCTCTGCTCCTTCTCCAGGGCTCCCCGCGCTGGTTGTGGCCATTTCCGTGGGATTCACCAAGGCCAAAGGGTACAGCACCATGAACTAGTGAGTCGGGGATTGGGGGTGTGGTGGATGGCCACATGGACCCCCAGAGCCTTCTGCCTCCCTGGAAGGCAAGGGCCAGCTGTGTCCTCCCTCTGTGTGGTGCTGACCATCTCACAGAGGCTCAGGGAGGGTGGGGCCCCAGGGGCTGGAGGCTGAGCCCCTTTGGGCAGCCCTTCCCCGTTGGTCAGCCAGCTTCTCCCTGGCAGCGAGCAGTGGGCAGCAGCATTGAAGGAAATCGGGCCATCAGGACCTCCTCCTCTGTCAGTTGGACAGGTCCATTAGCCACTCTGAGTCTCAGTTTCCCCATCTGCTCAGTGGGGAGCCCACCTCTGCACAGTGCTGGTGAGAGGGAGGGCTGTTTGAGATGCAAGAGCTCTGGGCACACCCCCACAGCAGGCTTGTGGCCGGCAGGCCAGGGTTGGGGGCTTATGTCACAGATGACGTCACAGGGCTCTGAAGGGTCCACTGGGCCAGGTCCTTGGGGCCTTAAGTGCCAAGCCAGGAAGTTTGGGGTCATCCTAGAGGCAGTGTGGAGCCAAGGTAGGGAGAGAGGGTCTGGGGCTCGGGATGGGCAGAAGAACTGGGGTTGGGGAGGAGAACCGAGGCTTGGGGGGAGGGAGTGGCTGCAGGGAAGCAGGGGAGGGGTGAGTGAGAGGCAGGAGGAGGTGATGGATGCCGGCTGAGTGGGAGCGTCAGAGCCCGCCTGGCTCACTGTGGAGCCCCGGGGGATAGGATGTGGCGGGCCCTGGAGCACTACCCTATCAGAGTGGCGGTAGGGAGTGGACAGAGCTGAGGGCCCAGGGGCGAGTGCTGAGAGGGAAATCCAAACACAGTCTCCAGAGACGACAGAGGCAGATACGTAGCCTGCTGGAGTAGGAGTGATTAGGAGAGGATGGGGACATAGAAGTGGGGTTCTGAAGGATGAAGAGGAGTTTGTTTGACACACGACATGGGGTAGATGCTTAGGGTAGAGGGAACTGTCTTTACTGGGTTTGCGATTTCTGTGGGCGCCATGGGTGGTGTCCCAAGAGCTGGGGAATGCGGGGCTGCTGCCTGGGTGGGTGGCAGGGAGGGCCCAGGGCAGATGTGTGAGCGCAGGACCAGGTGCTCAGGCTGCAGGCCCTGAGCCTGTGGGCCCGGGACCCAGCCCAGCATTTGAGCGTCACGTCAGGAAGGAGGGTCGGCCAAAGACCCCAAGAGAAGGGTAAGGAGGGACAGTCAGGTGACCTTTGTCCCGCCAGCCTGGTCCTCCTGCTGTGTGGCTCTAAGCAGGTGGGTCCCCCACTCTGGTCCCCATCTGTAAAATGGGGGTGACAACGGCTGCCTGGGGGCTCCCAAGGCTTCTAAGACTAACGAGTGGGTGTGATGTGCCCCTGCAGAAGGCGCTTGATGAGTGCTAGTTTCCTTCTGTCGCTTCCCAGCTCACCTCCCCTACTCCTGGGAGGCCAGCAGCGCCCCTCTGCACACTCCTCTGCACGCGGGGCGGCGCTGACGGCCTGTCTCCTCCCCAGCTGCTGGCTCTCCCTGGAGGGGGGACTGCTCTATGCCTTCGTGGGACCGGCCGCCGCCGTCGTGCTGGTACTGACCTGCCCGGGCCCCCCTCCCGTGACCCCAGCTGGGCCCCCCACCTGCCTCCTGGGCCTCAGTGCTCTCTCCTGCCCTGGGCCATGCACCCGCTGTCCCTTCAAGGGGGCCCTGATCACGAGGGGCTGGGTGCCCACAGCCCTACTCTGACCTGCGCTCGGCATGCAGTGCAGGGCCCGGACCAGGATAGTGAGCTTCCACACCTGTGAGTCTCAGCTAGCCTGATTAGTGGGCACCAGCTGTGTACCTGCCAGGAGGTCCACACAGGTGTGGTGAGTGAGTGGTATGGGAGGAAGCTGGGGACGGATGGAGGATGCAGGTAGCCGGGAGCTGCAGGCTGGACCTGGGTCGTGGGTGTCTGGCCCCAGAGCACCAGACATGAGGCTGGGGCTTCTTTCCCCCCTTGGGGGTGCCAGTGAGGACCTTCCTTGTGTGGTCCTTGGACTTTCCTTCCCGCTCTCCTCCCACCTTCGTGTGGAGGAAGGCAAGACTGTGGCAAGTGTCAGGCAGGGTCACCGTCCCCGAGTCACAGGTGAGCTGCAGCAGCCTGAGGGACCTGCCTGGTGCCACTGGTCTCTACTGGGTCCAGCTGTGAGCCTGCTCAGCCAGCCCCTGCCCCTCTACTCCGGCAGAGCTCCAGGGCTCACACCCACCCTCCCTGCCCTCCTGTCTTGCCCCAGGAGGGGCCGTCCATGTCCAGTCACTCTTGCCGCTTGACTGTCTCTGCAGGACCACACGCCTCCTAGTGGGACTTGGGCACAGGCTGGTGGCACTAGCCCTGCAGAGAGCCTAGTGAGGGTTGGAGGGGCAGTGGGCGCCATCCCTGGGCAGCCCCAGACCCCTCTCCACAATCCTGGCTGTGGAATCCCACCTCCTTTACTCCTTCCTCCAGGTGGGAGGCAGGAGGGGCAGGCGTGCGGTACCTGTCCAGGGCTGGGCTCAGTGCCAGCAGGGCGGTGCCCCAGGGACCTGGGGATGGAGGTTGGGGGAAAGGGGACAGAGACAGGAGCCCCACACCCATACCTCTCTCCCCAGGATGTGTCGGGAAGGTGGCTGACCCTGAGGGCTGTGGGACCTGCACCCCGGTGGCCCCTCCTGTTCTCGGGGCCACGTGGTGCAGTCTGGGCAGAGCCTGCCGCACGCAGTGTCCCATTGCTGGCGCCCATCCTCTCTTTCTGCTCCAGCCACATCAGAAAACTAGGCTGCCCGGGAGAGAGGCCACCGCCCATCAGGCTGGCCAGGGCTGTGGGCGTCCGTCCACTCTGCATCCATTGTGGAAGGCAGGCTAGGTGTACAGTCGGGAGCCCTGGGCTGGGAGCAACACCGTCCACCCCCCTGGTCCTCTGGACGTGGGGTCCCTGGAGTCCTGGGCTCTCCAGCCTCCAGCTGCTGGAACCTGGGCCTGAGGAAGTCAGGCCTTGCCCGGCGCGGTCTTGTCTACAGAGCGGGAATGCAGGAGGAGGGTCAGGGACCCTCTGGCAGTGGGGGAGTATGAGCTGAGAACCCTCCTTCCCCCCAGCAGAGGGGGGCCAGGAGACGGGGAGACCCAGGATGCTCAGGGCCGGTGGCTTACCGGAGGCGCTCCGGGAGCAGCTGTTGTCTTGAGTGGCAGCCTGGACCTGGACAGCGGCAGGCATGGGAGACTCATGCTGGAGCCCAGCAAGAGTCCCCTGGTGCAGGAGCCCGGCCAGGGCCCTTACGGGGCGGGCAGTTAGTCTGACGGGAATAGGAGGCGGAGATCGGGAAGGAAGTCTAGGGAGAGGAGGCGGCCTGCCCAGAGCAGAGAGGCAGGAGGCATGTGGCCCCGGGAGAGCCAGGATTAGGGGTGTTCCTTAGTTCCAGCTGCAGGCTGGCAAGGGATTCCAGTCCTTGTGGGTGGGGAGCTCCCTGGAGGAAGGGATGCAAGGACCAGAGCGGAGGGCCGACGGTGTGGTGACACGCGGGAGGGCTCTGCACAGTGGCAGCGGGACTGGAGGTCACCTGATGCCCATTGGGTGCTGGCGTTCCTATGATGGAGGCACCGGAGGTGACCCCAGGCGGGGTAGGGGTCGTGGTCGGCGTAGCCAGTGTTGGTCCAGCCAAGGTCAGCCCGCGGCCCGTGGCGGCCCCGCCCCACACTCCCACCTTTCTCTTCCCCGCAGGTGAACATGGTCATTGGGATCCTGGTGTTCAACAAGCTGGTGTCCAAAGATGGCATCACGGACAAGAAGCTGAAGGAGCGGGCAGGGTAGGACCGGGGCCACGCGGCTTCTCACCCCCCCGGAGCACAAGACCCAGAGTCCACCCAGCCCCGGGCTCCCGGGGGTTGGAGCACGCTCCACACCCAATCAGACTGCAGGGCCAGGGATCCCAGAGCAGTGGGGAAACGGAGGTGCCGAGTGCAGAGGCCCCTCAGGCTCCGCCAGCCCCTGCACCCCACTGTGCCACAGCGTCTCCCTCTGACCTGGGGCAGGCTGGGCCCCGTAAAGTCCTCAGAAGCTGTGAAACTGATTGTGCAGGGACACCGCCTCTGCCGGGCTTTCAGGGCGTCGGGAGGACGCCCGCAAGGCTGGCACTGGGGTCTCTGGGCTCCCGCGCCCCCGCCACAAGCCTTGCTGTGTGGCTGGCGGGAGGATGTCGCCTCTCCATGCAGGGACTCCCTGTCCTTGTGGGACCTCCATCGTGGGGAGGACAGTTCAGGCAAAAGGTGGAGCGCATGATCCTCCCTCCGGGGAGTCCAAGCTCAGGGACTGCTCTCAGCACAGCCACTGGGCAGGGCATGGGAGCAGGGCGGAGGCGCTGGGGATGTGTGGCTGCGCCCACCTGTCAGGGTCAGGGCCCTGGGCACAGAGGGGAAGCTGCAGAGCGTGGGGAGCTGACTAGGGTGGACAAGCCCCTCTGTCCTCCCGCCCCCTCCGGCCCCCACTCCTCACCTCTGCCTGCTGCTCTGTTGTCCAGCCCCAGCTGGTGTCTGCGTGGCCCCTCCCCTCTGTGCCAGTCTTGCTTGGATGCTCGGTCTCTCTGTCTCTCTCTCTCTGTTCCTGTCTCTTCCTGGCTCCTCTTGCTGTCCTCAGTGAAAGAAGCTTCAGGAAGCCTTCCCGTTGGGTGCCTGTGGGTTCTGGTCCTGGTTCGGAAGCAGCCGAGCTGGCCTTCAATGCCGAGTGCACGTGGTGGCCCTGGGGTCTGTCATTCAGGATGGGAGTCCTGACACTTTGTCCCCGGGCCTGGGAAGTGGAGGCTGGAGCAGCCTTCTCTGCAACCGTGCCCCACCTGTCCCACACTGCTCCGGAGACGGTGGTCACACTCAGAAGAGGTCCCCAGGGCTGTACTTGGGGTGTAAGCACGGCAGACTGCCTGCCTCAACCTGACCATTTTTACCATGCAGCCTTGATCTCGTACTGACTCGGTGCAGATGTTTTGTGTGCTTCTTGAAATAGCACTGTGGCAGGTTCTGTGGTTCTTACCGCTGAGCAAATGGAGGTTTAGGGAGGGTGAGTCCCTGGTGGAGGTGGGCTTGGGCACACGCTAGAGCCAAGCCCAGGCAGCCCGCACTCTGTCCCCATTGCCTGTGTGTGCAGCAGGCCTGCTGCGTTAGGTACACATGCCCAGGAGCACTCCCGGGCTTGCCTGTGCTGCCGTGTAGGTTTTGCTGCCCACACAGGGAGGGGCTGGGGTGGGGGTGGAGGGGCAGCAAGTACACTGGTCTGTGTGCATGCACCCACACACATGGGCACACATGTGGGCATACACATGCCACGAGGACCTGCACGAGGTCCCTGCCAGGCCAGCTCCCTTGAAGACACACAGGAAGGGGTGAGGAAGGCACAGTGACCTTCCTTTGGGTAGTTTGCCGCTTTGTGCAGATGGAGGCAGAGTCCACTCTCAGCTGAGCACAGCGCAGGGACCCGGTGCTGCCTTCCCCCACGCCTGCCACGTGCAGCCCATGGCTCTGCCGCCACAGTGCCCACACCCCAGGCCTGAGTTTGCGAGGCAGCTGAGAGCCCCAGGACCATCCCTGTGGGGCCGGGCTGGGCTCCGGAGTGGCTGGCTCCTCCTGCTGCCGCCCCGCCCCTCCCGCCTGGGCTCCCAGCGCAGAGCGCCTGCTTTCGTTTCAGCCGTAACTTCACTTGCAGTCAGCCGCCCCGGCACCCCCTCGGGCGTGCCCTCAAGTGTGCCGAGTGTGGAGTCCTCTCTGCTGCCGACGCCACCTCCGACGCCACCAGTAACGCCATGTTAGTGCCTCCGCTGCCACCTCCCTCCTGGGCCCACCCTTGGGGCTCTGCGCTCTCTCAGTCACCTTTTGTTTGTTTTATGTTTATCTTTCATTTCTTCCTTTTCTGCCGTCCACTCTGGGTTTCTAGGCCACTCCCGTCCCCCCCACTGCCCCCAGCTCCTCCTTCCGTCCTCCCCGCAGGCCCGCTGTAGGCCTGGTGGCACAGGGCACGGCGGGTGCAGGGCGTGGGGCCGGGCCTGGGTGCGGGCAGAGTGCAGCTGTGGCCGGGCTGCAGTTGGAAAGGAGCGTGGTCAGTCCTGTCCCTCCAGGCCCCGAGTGTGTGGCGGGCGGCAAGCTGCGGTTTGTTGGTTCCGGATCGGAACCCCCACCACCACCCTTGGTGCTGCTGGCATGGAGCCCCGGACCACTGATGCCTGGGCAGGGGTCTGCGCCCTAGGCACCCCCACAGCTCTGTGGTGGGGTGAGGAGACTGGCCCTGGCCTGCCTGATGGGAAGCCTCCCTCCCTGTGAGTGCATGAGCCTGTGAGTGCACGTGAGCACGCATGGGAGAGCATAGCCAGATGTGTGTGTGTGCGTGCATGCGTGCCACTCACTGTGTGCATGTTTGCACGAGTGTAACCAGGTGTGTGTGTCCATGAGTGTGCATCCGTGTGGGAAAGAGCAGGATCAAGGCTGTGCAAGCATGTGTGAGTGTGCATGTGTGCCACTGGGTGTGTGTGCATGTATGCATGCAAGTGTAACCAGGTGTGTGTGTCCATATGTGAGTACATGAATGTCAACCCGTGTGGGAGAGAGCATGACCAGGGGTGTAAAAGCATGATTGTGCATGTGTATAACCAGGTGTGTGCGTATGAGTGTGCGTATATGTCTGTGAGTGTACATTTGTGTGGGAGAGAGCGTGGCCAAGTGTGTATGTGTGTGTGCCCACGTGAGAGCACTTGCTTTCCTTTTTTTTAGTGTCACTTGCATCCAGCCACCCAGCACCCCCTTGGGCACGCCCTGAAGTGCGCCAAGTGTGGAGTCCTCTGCTGCTGATGCCGCCTCTGATGCCAGTGTGCAAGTGTGTGTGCATGTGTGAGAACATGCCTGGATGGTGCCTGTGTGCAAGCGTACATGTGTGTGAGTGCAACCTGTGTATGAGTGTGCGTGTGAGTGCAGCCTGGTGTGTGTGTGTGCATGTGTGTGTGAGTGTACCCTGGTGTGTGTGTGCATGTGTGTGTGAGTGCAGCCTGGTGTGTTTGTGCATGTGTGAGAGTGCACCCTGGTGTATGTGTGTGAATTTGGTGCATGTACATGAGCGTACATGTGTGTGTGAGTGCAGCCTGGTGTGTGTGTGCATGTGTGTGAGTGCACCCTGGTGTATGTGTGTGTGTGAATTTGGTGTGTGTACGAGAGTACATGTGTGTGAGTGCACCCTGGTGTGTGCATGTGAATTTGGTGTTTGTACATGAGTGTACATGTGTGTGTGAGTGCACCCTGGTGTGTGTGCGTGTATGCATGTATGAGTGGAACTTGGTGTATGTGTGAGTGTGCATTTGTGTGTGAGTTCGATTTGGTATTTTGTAAGTGTGAATGTGTGTGTGTATGTATGAGTGTGTATACGTGACCAGGCGTGTGCGTGTGTGTGTGTGAGCATGTGAGCATTGTGTATGTGGGAGTGTGTTTATAGGTGAGTGTGTGTGTCTGTGTATGCATGTGTTCCTGAGAGCAAGAGGCAGCCAGGGCCAAGGGAACAGCGAAGGACAGGTTCAGGGTCAGGGGCAGCCTCAGGGACTGTGTGTAGGGCAGGGCGCTGTGGGCTCGGGTGGGTGGGGCCTGTTGGCCTAGAGTTCCCAGCCTGAGGGGTCATCTTGTCCGTACCCTGCGTCCCTCAGTCCAGGGTGAGGGCTGTATCCCCAGACTTGAACCCCATCCCCTTCTGCTTTGTTCCCTGAGCCAGGAACTAGGGGCCCAGAGTTTTAGGAGCCGTGGGAGAAAGGGCTCTGGACCCTGGCGCTGTGAGATGCCGGTGGGGGCAAGGCGAGCCTGGGTGGGCGGGGTGAGCCCGGAGCAGGGGCAGCATCCACACTGTCCTGCCAGGCCCCTGGAAGTGCCAGTTCCTTGGTGCTAGCATTGCCCTTTCTTTATCTCAACAGCAGGGATGGGGAGTGCCACCCCAGGCGTGGGACGGGGGCTGTGGGATATGCCCCATCTCGTTCCATCAGGGAGAAGTGGGGGCCAGAGGATGTTGCCTGGGGAGTCACTCAGCCTCTCCCCCCACCACTGGGCATCTGCGTCTCCAGGCGGGAGCAGGCGCCTGCAGCTGGGCGCTCCCCGGCCTCCCCCCAGCGGCTCCCGGGCGTTCTGGTTCCTTCCCACGGCTCCCTGCAGCAGTATTTCCCAGCCGCAGAGGCAGCCGCGTTGTGGGAGTCATGGACTGGTCCCCAGGCCCTGGGCCACCTGCCAGCCGCAGCAGATCGGGCTGTAAATGTCAGGCCTGGAGACCCAGTGCCCTTTTGGGCAGCAGCAGTGGTGACTGAGGCGGGCAGTACGTCTCCATGGGGAGGGAGGGCCGGGCCTGCACCTCCACCCTCAGAACTCGGGTGAGGATAGGAGTCCGGGGTCCCTGCTCAAAGAAAACCTGCCTTGGAAGGGAGGAGAGACCCTCCAGCTTACCGCCATGGGGGAAACTGAGGCCCAAGCCGAGGGCTCCTGCTCTGTGTCAGAGCCATTCCTTGGCTATGTGAACATCGATGGCGGTCACAGGCTCTGTGCCAGGTGTAGGGACACATCAGTGAGCGACAGCTGGGGGTCCTGCCTGCTGCTGCAGCCTGGACCGGGAGGGAGCGGCACCTTCGTGGGAAAGGGAGGCCTCTCGGCCACCTAAGTTCCCAGGCGCGTGGGGTGGGGATCGGGCAGGCTCTCCAGGGCCAGGGAGGGCGAGGGGGGTTGGGGGCCTCTAGTAGATTCGTGTTGTACAGGAAGAGGGAGTCCTGTGACGCTGTTAGCGCCCATCCTATGTGCAAGAGCAGGAGGAGTGGTGCGTGGCCAGGGCCACCGTTCCCTGTCAGCTGGGAGGCACGGGCTGTGCGGAGCCTCCGTCCCGGTGCTGCTCCAGGCTCTGGGCCTGCCCGTGTCTCAGCCATGGCTAGGTGGTAACGCCTGAGGCCGGGGCCAGGCAGATCACCCCTGGATGGCATCGCTGGAGAAAAGCAGGCCCAGGCCTGGGATGAGGGCTGCGTGGAGGAGAGTCCAAGAGGTGGGCATGGCTGGCTGTGCCTGCTGAGATGTCCCGGGAGATGAGGACAGAGGTGTCCCTTGGGGGTTGGGCCCTGCACAAGTGCCCCGAGGTAGGGCTGGGGGCAGCATTGGTGGCTGAGCCACGCTGGAGAGGACTGAGGAGCACAGCGTGCGGTTTTGGGGGTCCTTGCCCTGGTGGACTTCAGGTTCTTCTAGCATGTCTCCTGCCAGCCCTGGCACGCCAGCTCCTGCCTGGCATTCCGACCCCACGCCTGGGCCCCCAGCTCCCTTGCCTTCGTGATGAGCCTGTGCAGGATGGGAGGAGAAAGGAAGCTGGCGCAGCCCCCACTGGTGCTGATGAGAGTCCTGTGGGCGTGGGGTCCCTGTGGGCAGGCACAGGACTCACCTCCCAAGCCCTCACCACTGCCCGGCCCTGCTGGCTCTGTCTGTGTCCCGCAGCCCCGGGAAGCAGTTTAGTGTCCCCCTGTGAGGACGAGAGCACAGGCTCAGAGGCCACACGTGGAACCCAGTGCGGGGGTGTGTGGAGGGGCCCAGGCCTTCACTGCTCCCAGGGGCAGGGTGAGGCCTGCGGTGGGGCTCCTAGAGGACCCCCTGGGAAAGGGGGCGGCACTGGGGCAGAGGCAGCAGGACGGGTCCACAGGCAGGTGCCTGCTGGGGCTCAGGAGGCAGGGCGGAGCTGGACCTGGAAGAGGAGGAAGCGCCCGTCGGCCTGTCTGTTGCCGTCTGTCTCTGTCTCTTTGATCCTCCCCTGCTGGCCTTGTCCGTCCGTCTGTCCTCTACCCCATTCCCCCAAGCTTCTCTCTCCCTTCAGGTTTCTGAGTTCTGCGCTTCACCTTCCCCTCCCCACCATGGCCATCTTGCTCTGCCCTTCAGGGCTGGAGACCTTGCCTGGGGCCAGTGGCTATCTGAGGGTCCTGGACCAGGGCGTCCTCCTTGCCCCACCCCACACCAGACAACCCGCCCCTTCCAGCCTATCTCCCCTCCCCCATCACCTCCTAGACTGTCAGGAACCTGGGTCTTCCCCAAAGAGCTCTCAGACCTTCCCCCTGGGTCCCTGGGTCCCCTCAGAGCCCTTGGGCTTGGGGAGGGGTGCTGGGACCTCAGTGTCGACTGTAATCCTCCTCAGCCTGGCGGAAGGGCTCAAGAGAGAGGAGGGGCAGAGGGTGGGACAGGAGGGGGAGCCCTGGGGAGGAGAGAGGGCACAGACGCAGCCTGGGCGGTGGGGGACTCACCCCAGAGAGGACATGCTGCTTGTCCCTGGCCCCCAGAGACAGAGATGGGGACTTGGGGCTGGGTGGCCCCCACTAAGGCCTGGAGATGCAGGTTTGGGACAGGGTGTCCCGGGGGGCAGGATGGGGCGGCAGCGCTGACGCCCTCCATCCCCAGGGCCTCCCTGTGGAGCTCCTGCGTGGTGTTGCCGCTGCTGGCGCTGACCTGGATGTCGGCCGTGCTCGCCGTCACCGACCGCCGCTCCGCCCTCTTCCAGATCCTCTTCGCCGTCTTCGACTCGCTGGAGGGCTTCGTCATCGTCATGGTGCACTGCATCCTCCGCAGAGAGGTGGGTGGGTGGCCTCCGTGCTCCGTGGGCCGGGCTCCTGCGGGGCCCTCCGTGGGGTCCTGGGGCTGTGGAGCGGCCGCCTCCTTCCCCGAGGGCCTCGGCAGGGAGACTGTGGGGAGGTGCAGCGTGAACGGCCCCAGCACGTTTGCGGGCTGCCGTGGTCACAGAGAGGGCCTGCAGGTGCGCGTGTCCATCCCACTCGCTGGGAGCGGCCCGGCGGTGCAGCACCTTCCGGAGGACGCCCTGCGTCCACTCAGTCCTGGCAGCATGGGGGACACAGGCATGAGGGGCTCCCATCCTCAAGGGACCTACAGGATCGAGGGAGCTGGCAGCTGAAGAAGATAGCTTCCAGGGCAGTGGAGACTCCTGCTTCCGGCATTTTCTGGACCTTTCCAGAAGGTGTCACTGGAAGGTTTTCACCAAACCACATCCCAGCTACCACCTGGCTGGTGGCCGGATGGGGATGATCTCGTGGAGGCTGGGATGGGGGAAGTATGCACAGCGACCTCAGTGGACTGGGATGCCCGCTTCCACATCGGCGCCAGGAGGGCGGATACCCAGGAGCAGGCAGCCACCTCCCGCTCCTGGAGAGACGGCAGAGGACTGTTGAAAACCACAGGGTTCCCAAGGACGAAGAACACGAGGGAAGCTGACAGCAGGGAGCCAGGCAGAGGGTGGCAGGAGCGGGACCCGCCCCTATCCGGGATCTCCGGCTGCTGCAGGAGGCTCAGGCATGGGAGGCCTGGTGTTCCAGGCCCTACGTGGCGATTTCCATCCCATCCTGGACTGATGAGGCCGCCCTGCTTGGCCTCCCCGGCCTGGGCCTCACTCTCTGGGCAAAGTGATCAGAGGGGCTCTGGCCTTGGGCAGCTGGTGCAGCTGAAGATGGAGATTCCGCCTGGAACCAGGGAACAGTAGGTGTGCTGAGCCGGGTCACGTGTCCGCCCAGGCCTCCCAGGCCCACAGCTCTGCGGGGAGGGGCGAACACCCCTCTGGAGGCAATTTGACCTCAAGGAAAGACAGGAGGAGGAGGAGCTGGAGTTCCCACGTCTGCCAGTGAAATGGCTCCCACCCTGCCATCCCCAGTCAGGCAGCACCCCACACTTATGTCCCAGCAGCTCCTGACGAGGAAAGCAGGGCTCCTGTTGGAGCTTCAACCCAACCAGGCAGGCAGGAAAACAGCCCAACCCCAGGCAGCGTGGGGACCGAGGCAGCCCGGGGAGGAGAAACCTCACCAACCCCTCCTTATCCTCACCTGGGAGAGGCTGCTCACCCTGGTGAGCACCACGTGGGCCGGGCCCTGTCCAGCAATGGGCTAGTGTTATGATTCTCATGACAGCCCCTAAAGCAGGCGCCGTCCACTCTGTTCCACAGACAGGACAGCTCCAGGGAGCTCATCACGGAGCTCCTCGCCATGGCTGGGACTTCAGCCCAGGTGGTTCTGGAAGGCCACACTCTTGGCCCCCAGCGCCTGGCTTCCGTGAAAGAACAGCAGCAGCCTATGAAAAAGGAACATCCCCAAAACAAAGAGAACCTCATGGAAATGAAAACCAGAGCAACTCCAAGCTCAGTAGGAGGAAAACAAAAGCAACGCCACAAAACAGAAAAGACGGAAACGAGAGATTTTTAAAACAATTAAGCGAATCCCCAGCAGCCAACTGACCAGCCACGGGAGCTGCAAAGGATGCAGCGGGGAGGAGGAGCTCTAGGGAGGCCGAGCCGGGGCTGCCTGGAGCAGAGGCCGGCGCTGGGGCCTCAGATGTGGTCGCACATGGGGTGGGGGAAAGAGGGGACCCGGCGTGCTCCCATTGCAGGTGGGCACAGTGGACACCAGGGCCAGCCTTCCCCAAAGCCCCCCTCAAGCTCCCAGCCCCTGTGTGTGGGCTCCGGGCTGCAGGACCCTCAGGTCCCTGCCCAGAAAGGGCTCCCGCCTGGGCCTGGTAGCAAGGGGCCTCCAGCCCTACCCAGGCCCTCAGCCTCAGGGGTGGTGGCCAGGGCTGCAGGGCATGCTGAGGAGGCGGGGCTGGGTGGAGGCCATGCCAGGCAGCCTGGCCGGCCCTGTGACCTGGGACACTCCTGCAAGTGGGCAGGTCAGTCCCTCGTCTGGCTATGAAGCCGGGGCCTCCTGGGCTGAGACTGGCTTGGGCATTCCTGGAGAGGGTCCCGGAAGGCCTTGGGGAGCCCCAGCTCCTCTGCATACCCACAGAGCACTTCCCTACCCGCCTGCGGGACCAGGCACACAGTAGGTGCTCAGCAGGCGTTTGTGGGGCAGGCCCGTGAGGAGAGGATGGCAGGAAGGCACACCTGCCGTGGTGGCCTGTAGTCCTGAGCTGGTGTCTGTAGGTCAAAGGCCACCGAGACCCTGGCTTCCAGGCCTGGCCTTGCCTCTGACTGGCTGTGTGGCCATAGACGGTTCTCTTGCTGTTTCTGGTCCTTGGTCCCCATCTGCCTGGTGAGAGGGTGGTGGGCTGGATGTGCTCAGCCCCCAGCAGCATGAAGCAGAGCACTGGGTGAGGGAACGGGGCTGCAGGTCCGTGGGTGAGCGGGTGGGTGGGTGGGTGCCCGGAAGCCAGGAGCCCCAGCTTATCTTCTTTTCACCTCTGCCAACTTCTGTTTGGACACCGCCTCCAGGAAGCCTTTGTGCTTTCACCACCACCACCCCCCACCAAGGATTCCCTTTAGTTACTGTGACCAGCGGAGTGTCAGTGCACTGCCCAGAGCAGCCAGCAGGTGGCTGCCAGCCTCAGGGGAGAGACAGCTGGCATTCTGGAATGATTACCTCCTTGAAGCTCCCTGTCCATAAGCTGTGTGCTGGCCGCTGAGTAGGTCTTCCCGTACAGTCCCTCCTACGGAGCCCACTGACATCGTCACCACTGTCCCCCCTGAAGAGTGGGTGCCCGTGAAGGCGAAACCCCCTTGACGGAGTGTGTCGCTCCCAGTGGGGTGACTACGGGGAGGGGCAGATCTCAGGGTCCCTGGCACAGCACCCCACGCCCCCGGTGGACACTCCCAGGGCAGGGCAGCGAGGGCCAGGCTCTCCACCTGCTCGGAGGAGGCAGCGGCGTTGAGGCTGCCAGAGACGCAGCCAGGCCCGGGACATCTTCACCCTTGCGGGTCTGGGCAGGTTCTTGCGGGCAGACTGACCCAGGGCCTGCAGCCGCTCTCAGGGGCTGGGAGCTCTGTGGAGAGAATCTCAGACAGGAGAGGGGCAGGCTCTTCCCTCCCCGGGGTCTCGTTTCCCCTTCTCCACCCAGAGGGTCATGACCCCGTAGACCACCGCCCAGGGGCCTCTGCCCTTTCCCAAGACGCCCGTTCCTCCTCCATATGCTGCTCATCTGATCTGGCGCTGGCGCAGGGTGGGGGCGTGCAGGGTGGGGCGTGGCTGCCACTGAGGTACTCGGCTCTCCCTCCCCAGGTCCAGGATGCTGTGAAATGCCGTGTGGTTGACCGGCAGGAGGAGGGCAACGGGGACTCGGGGGGCTCCTTCCAGAACGGCCACGCCCAGCTCATGGTAGGACTCGGGGCCTGGGGACTCAGGCTGCCCCACCCACCTTGTACCCCCCCCACCCCATGCCTCCAGAACCTTACTGTGCCCCAAGCTCCCCTAGGCCCCAGCAGCCCTGTTGGGAAGAGCTCTGAACCCAGTGTGCAGTTGGGGAAACTGAGGCTCGCCAAGTGGAACCCCTGGTCTAGGGTTTCCAGGTGGGAAGAGCTGAGCTGATGAGTTTGAGGGTCTCAGTGGAGGCTGGCATCCACCCCACACACAGCCCTGCTGGCAGCAGTGCCCGTCTGGTGGGACATCACCTCTGAGCGTCCCAGTCCTCGTCTCTAGGTGCCTCATCCTTACACGTCCCAGGCCCACCCTCATTGCCTTCTGTCCCCCACCCAGGGCTGTCCTGCTCAGCTGCCACCTGGGGGTCCTACTCAGCCTGTCCATCCCCTGCTCACACCCTGCGTGTCCCCACCTGCTGCCTCCCTGGTGTTCACAGGTGCTGCCGGGGTCTCAGCCCCTGCAGGGGTGATGAGCCTTCCCTTCCTTGTGGCCACGGGTCATCCTGCCTACCCTCTCTCTGGGCTCCCTGCCCTCCTCCCGCCCATCCTGATGTCCTCAGCCCTGTGCTCTGCACACACCGCCTCCCCGCCCCTGCCCCCTGCCCTGCCGCATGTGCCTATGGCCTGTCCTCTGCAGCACAGAGTTCCCAGGATATGCACAGGCCCTGGGAGGGCGGCCCGAGGGGCAGGCTCCTGTGTAAGACCCTCCACAGCCCCTCGTGGAACCTCCACCTCCACACCTCAGCCTCAGTTCCTTCTTCTGCCTCCCTGCCCTGGGGCTCAGCCAGGCCAGGGTGGGCTGCTTCTAGTCTCCAGCTCTGCTGCCATCCCCGCCCGCCTCAGCACCCGGGGCTGGCACAGGGGGTAGAGCCAGGCCCCCCGTCCACCCTCCAGGCCTCGGGACAGTATCCGAGCCCTGGCCTGGTCCTGAGCTGGACCTGCAGCTGTGCTGGTCTTGCCCCTGCCCCTGAGTCCTGCACACCTGCCTCCACCCTGAGCACTCCCACACGTCCCCTCCAGGGAGTCCTCCCTGACCCTTGCCCCATTGGGCCACCCGTTTGGGCCCAGGCCGAGTCCCGGTGAACTCCGCACGGCTGGCGCAGAGTTGGGTCCTCGGGATGCCCGGCCACCTAACGGCACTCTCGAGGCTCACAGGCAGGGGCTGGGCAGAAGGCATGTCCCGCCCCGGGTGAGGGTGCGGTCCTTCGGTGAGAGACGGCCACCTTGGCTCTTGGGTGACATCCAGGCAGGCCCCTCACTGCTCTGTGCCGCAGTGTCTCCATCGGGCAGGGAGCTGGTGTCCGCCAGCGACTACCTTGTCACTTTGGGACACGGCTTCCCCCTCCCCGGTGTTTCTCCTGGCCTGGCCTCTGACCCCAGAGGGAAGATTTTGTTGTCTTCAGCCATCCCGGCTCCTGCAGGTGTGGGGAAGGAACCTCCAGGTTTTCAGGGAAGGGCTGGCCTGTCCTCTGGAGCCCCAGGGCCCCTGGAGAAGGACAGCCCCAGGCCTGGGCAGGTCCTGAGCTCCCTGAGGCAGGCCTGGGCCACCCATTCCTGCCTCCCCAGGTGCCAGCCTGGTGTGGCTGCTCGAGGGTGGTAGGTGCTGCCAGCCTTGGCCCCGAATTCCATGTTCAGTCACACCAGACTGCCTCTCCCTCGGCAGGCCCTGGCATGGGGCCCCCTTTGAGGGATGCGGGGACCAGCGGGGAGAGTTCTGGTGCCCCAGGCCCAAGGCCGTTCCTGAGGCCTCAGGGAAGGGACCTGCCAGAGGAGGCAGTAGGTCAGCGGCTCCCCGGATGCCTGGGAGAGAGCACACGTGTGTGTCACACAAACAGAGCTACGCACAGAAACACACGTGCACAGAACACTCAGACGCATTCTGTCACTTTTACAAACACAAACACGAATCCACACGTAAACACAGGGACACAAATTTACCCACTTACACAGAGACGTATCTGTAAACACACGCGCATCCTGACTCTCATACACATCCACCCAGAGATACAAACGCACGTACACAGGCAAGTGCGTACGGAGGCACAGTCACCCACACGGGCCCTGGGCTGTGGGTGTGGGTGGGGTTCCACCGTGGCCCTCCTGGGTGCTCTGCGCACGCGCACACACCCCCGCTCCGAGGGAGGCGCTCACCGGGTCCTGCTGTCTCTGTCCTACAGACCGACTTTGAGAAGGACGTGGACCTGGCCTGTAGATCAGGTGAGCGCCCGACAGGTGAGAGGACAGTGCCGGCCCGGCCCCCTGCACGTCCCCACGCCATGCCTCTGTTTCTGCATCACCCATATCACCCATCCGGTCCACCCCTGCCACTCCCACCCACACCCAGCCTTACTGTCAGGCCCACTGGGACGCAGGGGACCTGCCCAGGCGATCCAGCTGGGGCAGCGACCTTGGCCCCTGTCCCTCTCACCCCACCTACTCCCCGAGGCCAAAGGAGGGTCCGTGGAGCACGATCAGAAGCCTCCAGGACTCCCCTGTTCAGGTGCCCGTGAAGCCCCTGGCTGCCTCGCCTGCCCACCTGGCATCTTTTCTCCCTCCGTCCTGGCCCCAGCGAGGAGCACAGCCCCACCTTTACTGTCCCTCCCCCACCCACCTTCTGCCCGCCCCCCCTCCTGCCTGCCCCCCTCCAGCACATGTGTTCTGTGCCACCTTCATTTCCTCATTGCCAGTCCCAGCAGGGGCAGAAGTGGGTGGAGCTTTCAAGCTAGGGGGACAGTGGGCAGCAAGAGGAAGGCAGGGAGAAGGACCCGCCATGGAGCCCGAGGCCAGTGCTGAGGTTCCTGGAACCAAGTGCAAAAAGAGGATGACTGCTCAATAACGGAAGCTCCACCACCCAGCCCCAAGCATCAGACTGCAAGGGTCTATTTCTGTCCCTGTCACTGTTGAGTGAACCAGGTCCTGAGGCAGTGCCAGGCGGTGGCTTTCGGGGCTGTGGAGAGGCCAGTGGACCGTGCTCCCTCTGGTCATTTAGATATTTGAGGAGCACCTTCTCTAGAGACAGCCCTGGCAGAGGAGCTGGGACAGCCCCAGATGGGGAGTGTGTGCTGCTGCCATTTGGGCCCCTGGAGGGCTTCCCGGAGGAGGTGACATCAGGGCTGGGCTGAATGGGAGCTGGACAAAAAGTGCCTTCTGCCCCCTTGAGATTTCCTGTATCCAGCCCCACGACCTCCCATAGAGGTGACCCCAGTGCTTGGGACCTTAGTGGCTTTGGTGTGTGTGGGCCTCTCTGGGCCCCTGACTCCTTCTCATTCATACTTTGGCTGCGGCACCTTCTGGATTGCGTGCAGCTCGTGGATGCACCATGAGCAGCTGGTGCTGAGCGCCCAGGAGCTTCCTTGGAGAGGGAGAGTGCACGGGGCGCCAGTGCGGGGCCTGGGCCTGGGGGGAGCTTGGCTTTTATTCTGCCCCAAGCTGGGCACATGGGAGGGCGGCGTGCAGATTCCTCACCTGCGGGGCACTCGTTCTGCCGTGTGGGGAGCAAAGCGGGAGGTGCGAGGGAGGTTGGAGCCTCGGGGTGTGTGTGGGGTGGGGTGGCCTTGGGGGCATGCGTCCTGAGAACGCCAGGGCCCTCTGGGTGGGGCGTGGGAGCTGGTGGGGTGGATGAAGGGCTGCTCTTGGGTGGGGACGAGGGGAGGGGTGGGGCTGAAGGTGGGCACAGGGTGTTGCTGTCAGAGGTGGCAGACAGGACAGCCCCAGGAGCGTGACCTGATGGGCTCTGAGGGGAACGGGAGGGATGTGTTTGGCAGAGTGAGTGACCCCTGGCTAGGCAGCTCAGGGGACATGGGTGACCCTAGGGCCTGTGTGGCTGGTGAGGTGGCTAAAGGGAGCAGCTGGTGAACACAGGCACCCAGGGCTGCTAGTGGTGAGGGGCACCCATCTGCCAGCCTGCACGGGGCAGGGCACAGGGGCAGGCCAGACTTCCCAGGAAGGGCCCCGGGGGCTGGATGTTTGGAGACTGGGGCTTGGAGAGAGAAGGGGTATGGAGGGCAGGCACCCCTCTGGTAGAGGGCAGGCGGCTGGGCCGGGGTCACCTTGGGGCTCTCCGCCAGCAAGTGTGGGCCAGATTCACTGGCAGGAGGTCGGGGGGCAAACTGGAGATCCGGGTGGCTGGGCCGCTGCAGTTGAGCAGAGATAGAAGCAAGAGGTGTCTGGGTGTGGGGTCTCTCCAGGGACCAGGAGGGGACCAGGAGGCCCCCAGGACAGAGTGGGGGGCAGGCAAACGCCCGTGGCCCTGAGGCAGCGATGCAGGAAGGGTTGTGAGGGAGGCCAGGGCCTCACAGCTGCACTTAGTACCGCTGGGACCCCCACTCAGCCCCTGATCGCACCAGGCTCAGGGCCGTGGGTGTTGGGAGCACTGCAGGGCTGGCTGGGCTGTCACAAGAACAGACCGTTCTGCCGTGTCCCTGTGCTTCTGGGCTGGAGGCCGCCCTCGCCTGCTCTTTTCAGTGCTGGGGAGGGCAGTGTGTGGGTGACAACCATTTGTCTTCTTGGGGGCCGGCAGAGAGGGCCACCCTGCCTGGCAGCCTCATCTGAGGACGTAGGAACCCTAGGGACCATAGCGCCACGTACGGGTAGGTGGCACCTGCCCTCAGATCAGGAACCAATGGGACCTGGCTGGGGTCCCCAAGGAGGTGGTGGCCTCACAGGTCAGACTGGGGCCCCTCTCCCGCCGGGACCATCCCCCACCGTCCTCACCCCCACACCTGTCTCCCCGCGGCGCCTGCAGTGCTCAACAAGGACATCGCGGCCTGCCGCACAGCCACCATCACGGGCACACTGAAGCGGCCGTCCTTGCCAGAGGAGGAGAAGCTGAAGCTGGCCCACGCCAAGGGACCGCCCACCAACTTCAACAGCCTGCCGGCCAACGTGTCCAAGCTGCACCTCCACGGCTCGCCCCGCTACCCCGGCGGGCCCCTGCCCGACTTCCCCAACCACTCGCTGACCCTCAAGAGGGACAAGGCGCCGAAGTCCTCCTTCGTCGGTGACGGGGACATCTTCAAGAAGCTGGACTCGGAGCTGAGCCGGGCCCAGGAGAAGGCTCTGGACACGAGCTACGTGATCCTGCCCACGGCCACGGCCACGCTGCGGCCCAAGCCCAAGGAGGAGACCAAGTACAGCATCCACATCGACCAGATGCCGCAGACCCGCCTCATCCACCTCAGCACGGCGCCTGACGCCAGCCTCCCTGCCCGAAGCCCACCCTCACGCCAGCCCCCCGGCAGCGGGCCCCCCGAGGCCCCCACCACCCAGCCCCCGCCACCCCCACCGCCTCCACCCCCGCCTCCCCAACAGCCCCTGCCCCCGCCACCAAGTCTGGAGCCGACACCCCCCAGCCTGGGGGAGCCCGGGGAGCCCGCGGCCCATCCGGGACCCAGTGCAGGTCCCAGCACCAAGAACGAGAATGTCACCACCTTGTCCGTGAGCTCGCTGGAGGTGAGGGGGGCAGGGGTGGGCCGCACGCCACCCAGCGAGGACCGGCTGCAGCAGCCAGGCTGCCCTTGCTGGGTGGGACCCCAGGCCATCAGTGGGCTGGGCTGTGCCAGGCTCCACCTCCCAGTGGCACCCCCACCCCCAACCCTGCTGGGCCCCGTGACCGTGAGATTGTAGCACAAATGCTGAGCTTGTGTTATGTGGCCCCCACTCTAGGCCTGGCAGGGTGGTCTCACCCCATTTCAAAGGGGCTTGGGGACCCACAGTCTGGACCTACGGAGCGGGGCCTGCACCTAGCACAATCACTAATCCAGCCCGGGACAAGCTGGCCTCATGCCCTGCCTGGGTCTGCCTGGAGCCTGCCACTGAGCCGGGCTCCCTCGACCTGCGGGATGTGGTTTCAGAGGCAGCCCTCCCACACGATACGCTCCCACCACCTGGCTCCTGGTCCCTGGCGATGCTGCCCTGAGCCCCTGAGTTCTCTGTCAGGGGACCCAGCCATGTAGCCCCGAGTTCTGGTCTCCTTGACCCTGGGGAGTGTCTCCCGGGCAGGCGAGCTGCACACCCCAGCCCAGCCCTGGTGCTGCCCCCTGACGCCAAGCGCATGGCTGAGGGAGCTGCCTCGGGTGGGGGATGGCCCTGGGGGCAGGCAGCCCATCTGAGCTGGGAAAGTGGGAGGGCCTGGGCTTCTGCCGGTTCACCTGACTCTCAGAGACCTCAGACTGATGCAGGAAGGGAGTGGCCTGGGACACGCCCTCCAGCCCATCACTGCCATTGGGGCCGGGGCTGCAGACTTGCTCTGTGGCCCTGGCAGCCCCGCCCTCTGTCCTTACTTCCCACCTGGGTCCTCAGTGTCTCCACGGAAGGGGCAGCCTACATGGGAAGCAGCGGGCACCCACTGCACCCCCAGGCATGTCCCCCAGGTCCGGCCTGGCCCCTGAAGGCAGGCGTGGGATGAGCGGGTCCCTGGTGCCCTCAGTCTCAGGGAGGGAGAGGCATGAACTTGTCAGGAGATTTTAGGGACCCTCAGGGAATGGTCACGAACTCCTTCTCCCTGCAGCGGCGGAAGTCGCGCTATGCGGAGCTGGACTTTGAGGTGAGTCCCGGTGTCCCCTCCCCAGACACTTGGGGCTGGACGTGCTCTGAGCCCCCCCCATGGCCAGAGGCTCCCCGGGAGCCAGGGGTGGGGGTGGTGGGGGCTGTGGCCTCCTCCTGGCCCAGGACTCACTGCCCAGGCCCCTGCAGAAGATCATGCACACCCGGAAGCGGCACCAGGACATGTTCCAGGACCTGAACCGGAAGCTGCAGCACGTGGTGGAGAAGGACAAGGAGGTTCTGGGCCCAGAGAGCAAGGTCTGGAGGGCCAGGGGGCAGGGCGGGGAGAGCCCTGAGGCCAGGCCACTGTCTCCCTTCTTCCCTGGCTCCGCCCACTCATCCTCTCTCTCACCATTCATTCATTCATTCCTTTGGCTGTCCCTGAGGGCTGGCCTGACCCTGCCCTGCTGGAGTCTGGAGGCCGTGGCCATCCTGGAGCTGAGCGGTCACAAGCCTGCTCCTGAGGCCGTGGGTCCGGATTGGGGTGGTGCCTCCAGGCTGACCTCCTGGCAGGGATCCCTTAGCCTGACCCAATCGTGGGGGTTGCAGCCTCTGCCAAGGCTGGGGAAAGTCTGCATCTGCCACCGCCCCGCTCTATTCTGGGCCCTTCCCCTGCCAGCCTCCCCGTCCCCTGTCCCCTGTCCCCTGCCTCCCGTCCCTTCCTCACTGATTCGTGTCTGCCTGCTCCTGGCTCTCCCTCCGGGCCTCGTCCCTCCTGCACCACCGGGCCACCCAGCAGCCAGAAAAGCAGCAGACACCCAACAAGCGGCCCTGGGAGAGTCTCCGGAAAGCCCACGGGACGCCCACGTGGGTGAAGAAGGAGCTGGAGCCTCTGCAGCCCTCACCCCTGGAGCTTCGCAGCGTGGAGTGGGAGCGGTCAGGCGCCACGATCCCGCTGGTGGGCCAGGACATCATCGACCTCCAGACTGAGGTCTGAGCGGGTGGGCGGCGGCCACACACTGGGCATGGAGGGATGCCGCTCCGCCCGCGCCTGCCGCAGACGGGCACAGACACGCTCGCGGGCGGCGGGCCAGGCCCGCGCCCCGGCCTCAGGGCGCTCGGACAGCGGCCAGGCACAGGGCCCGCAGTGCTGGGACCAGAGCCAGATACAGGACAGGAGGCGGCCCGGCCAGCGGGCACAGGGCATCGGAGGCCAAAGGTGCCTCGGACTCTGCCCTCCTCGGGCGAGGCCCAGCGGGCAGGTGGGCAGGCAGCTGTGGGCCATGGACAGGCCCGGTGCAGCCAGCGTCCCAGGATGCCCGCCTGAGCTCCTGCTGCGGAGGACCAGCCTGCTTGGCCCGGCCGGCCTGGCACCGTTTTTTAAACACCCCCATCCCTTGGGAAGCAGCCAGCCCCCCACCCCTTCCGGGGCCCCAGGCCCCTCCTAGACCAGGTGGAGAGCACAGCTCTCCCACCCTCGAGGCCCCCAGGGGCAGGACTGAGCCCCCTCCAGGAAGAAGCAGGGGGGAATCTATTTTTTCTCTCCTTTTCTTTTCTTCAATAAAAAGAATTAAAAACCCACATCCTGTCTGTGTGCCCTTCCTCTGTGCAGCCCGGTGCCCTGGCCCAGCCCTGGCTGTTGGGGTGAAATTCCCTGCCTGGCCCTGGTGTCCCCTCATTCCCAGGCCAGGTGGGCCCTGCAGCTCCTGCCTGGCCCTGGGCCTCCTGAGGCCAGCAGTGTGGCTCCCAAGACGTCCCCTCTCCCTGGGGCTCTGGGGACATTCAGGGAACCCCAAGTGCTGGTGCTCCCGGCTCCCTCCCAAAGCTTCTCAGCACGTGAGCCTCATACTGCTCTTGGGCTCCTCAGTGGGAACACGCTGGGCTCCTGTTGTACCTTGAGTCATGTTCAGGAGGGACAGCATGAACCCACCGATTCTTAGGAACAGTCTGACACGGTGGAAATGCCTGTGGGGGACAGGACGCCCAGGGATGGAGGGAGCCTCCCTCTCGGTGCCCCCACCTCCTTCCTGCCCACCAGGGGCCCTGCCCTCTGCTCCTGCCTCTGCCCTGGGGTAGGCACAGTTCTGGGTCCCCTCTTCATTGCTGGGGCACTTCCTGTCCCCAGGCCTGGGTTTCGTCTGTCGGGGTGGGGTCATGGGGAGCATCTGTGGACACGCCTAGCCCCCCCACCAGCTGGCCCAGAAGGGGGCCCCTCCTCCCCGCACCCCCCTCCTTCCCTGGGAGCTTTGAGATGCACGTCCTGCCTCCCTCTGTGTCTCCAGCAGGGGGCAGCCTGAGCCCCCGCAGGGAGCCCGGGCTGGCGGGAAGGTGATAGGGAGGGAGGGGCCCCTCAGACTGTGCGCTCCACCCTGGAGGGCCCCAAGGCCAGGAGAAAACACCGCACAGAGCCTGGGCCTGGACAGCAGTGCTTCACCACGCTGCAGAGGGGGCGACAGTCTGGCATCCCCCGCGGCCCCCCGCAGCCTCACCTGTGCCCTGTCACCCCGACCCCTGAGTCCTCGCCAGCAGAGAGGGCGGGGCAGAGAAGGTGCTTGGTGGGTGCTGTGACTTCTGTGACCATGGTGATTACAGACGGTCACATGTGACCACGGCCGACTGCTTCGAGTGGGTGGACGCGTGGATGACTGGGAGTGGGGCGGTGTGTCCACAGTGGCCCCGAGGAGATGGTGCAGTCCCCGGGCCCCGGCAGTCGAGCAGCACAGTCTCTGAGCCACAGATCTGAGCACCCCAGAAGACCAGAATGCTTTGGTGAGACTGGACAGCAGAACCTGGTGAGAACCTCGTCCAGCTGTATAAAGCTCCTTCGAACTGCGGCGTGCGCTCACGCTTAGCTCTGCAGCAGGGATGCTAATGCGTTTTATGATGCCTCTCCTAGGATAGTAGGTGAAATATCACACACACATCACACCATCCTTCTTTACCCAGGCAGATCCCACTTGGCACCAAGGTTTCAGAGGAGAGGCTGTGGGCCGTGGTCCCTTCCTCATCCTGAGTTACGGAAGAAAGCTGGGAGGCCCGCCCCTGGGAGCAGGTGGAGAAAGCGCTGAGCCCCCAGCTTCCCTCCACAGAAGGCAGCACAGAGCATGGGGCAGGCTCTGGAGGTGGGGCTTCCACTCAGGTCACCCCGTCCTTGTGGAGGGGCCAGAGTGGGTTCTTGGCCAGCTTCCCGACCTCCCGGCCCCACGCTCACACCCAGTGACAGGAGAAGCTGCAGCAAAACAAAACAACAAATAACAAGAAGGGACCCAAGCCACACATCCCTGCACACAGTGGGAGCAACTCATGTCAGCGTGAGCCACTGGGGCCGGACACACGGTGACCAGGGGAAGGGCGCAGTGTGTGGCCAGGGGCAGGGATTAGCCTGTGACCGGAATAAGGGTTTAGCCAGCAGCCAGAATCAGGGCTCAGAGTGTGGCCAGGGGCAGGGCTCAGCACAGTGTCCCCATGGCCAAGACTAAGTCTTCAGGCAGGTCTCATTTCTCCTTCACTGTGGTCCTTCCCTCCCAGAAGGCCGTGTCTGTGCCAGGAGAGGCCATATCCCACGTCCCGCCCAGCCCCAGTGTTCGCAGCTGTTCAGTACTCCATGACCTCTCACAGTAACGTGTCACAGAAATTGCTCTTTCCGAGCAGGAAGCTACATCCCAGGAGAGTCAGCAACCCTCGAGCCCTGCTTGGGTCTGCCCTAGGCATCTTCTTGTGGGGAGCCCTGTGCTGGGCAGTGCTTGGGCCAGAGGCCATGGAGATGCTCCAAGCTGGAACAGGGGCCTCTTCCCAGACTTCTGCTGGTTCCCCTCTCTGCTCCATCCAGCTGCTCAGAGTGATGTGCTCTCGACACTGAGCAAGGCAGGAACCATGATTGTGTCTGCAGGTGAGGACACCCAGACTCAGGGTGGCTGGTGTCCCACTGGCAGCAAAAGCGAGGCTGCCCCCAGAACCCAGCTCTCCCACCTCAAATTCTCCGGCCCTCCCCACAGTGAGTTGTCTTCTGGAGGGCAGCAGTGGCACGTCCAACTGCCACTTCCTCCATCCAAAGCCACTTCTTTCCTGTGGAGTCCAGGGCTGACCACTTCACCAGAAAGGTCTTCCTGGGCCTGTACACACTCTATTGTCTTGGCCTCCTTGTACAAGTGCTGTCCTCCCCAGCAACCTGTCACTGGTGAGGCTGAGACCACCTCCTCTGCCACACTCCACCTGCCACCATCAGGTGGCAGTTCCCTAGGGAGAACAGTGGGGCGGCCACTGGTGGAGGTTACTGTGATTGGCGGGAGCACTGTGGTGGTCAAAGGTGGTGGTGACAGTTTTGTGGACAGATGTGGGGCTGGAGATATTGGTGGTTGTAATGATGATGATGGTAATGGTGGTAGCAGTGCTGATGGCGATGATGATGATCATGGTGATAGTGATAGTAATAATGATTATGATGGTGGTGGTGGTGATGGTGACAGAGGTAATGATGGTGGTGGTCATGGTGACAGAGGTAATGATGGTGGTGGTGATGGTGATGGCGACAGAGGTAATGGTTGTGGTGGTGGTGACAGAGGTAATGGTGGTGGTGATGGTGATGGCGACAGAGGTAATGATGGTAGTGATGGTGACAGAGGTAATGATGGTGGTGATGGTGACAGAGGTAATGGTGGT